TTAGATAGCTTCTGGTAGTCTGAGTCTCATTCTTGTAAAATTTTTGTAAATTGGCTCTGGCCAGAGAAACCTATAGTAGATTCTCAATACAAAATATTAATAAAGATAAAGGCAAAACTTCATCTTAAAAAAAAAAAATAAAAATAAATTTATTTTATAGTGTTAAAATTTTTTCTTTTTAACATTTTGTTAAAATTTTAATATAATGCATGTGTAAGTAATTTATTAACATTATTATTATTAACAAATATTCTCTAATGCTCTATTCTAGAAAATAATTGTTGTATTGTTGACTTATAATAGATCCAATATAGTAAAATTTATATTATTAATCAAGAAACATTGTGTACAGCATAATAATATATAAATATGTGACAAAATAAATTTGTGTTAGGTTAAAATTAAATATTAGAGTCAAAATTTTGGCAAGTGAAATCCTAACAGATCATAATTCTGACAAAAAAATCCTGACAGCAATATTCCAACAACTAAAAAACTAGTAGTTAAAAATTCTGACAACTGAAAATTCTGATGAAAATAAGTTAACTCTAGCCTAATTCTTATCTAAAGTAGCCTAACTCTAAAGTTAATTGAATTATAAGAGGCTACTTCACTTTAAATATACCTTATATTCAGAATTTTCTACTTGAAAATTCTGACTATTAGGATTTTTGATTGTTGAGATTTTGACTATTAGGATTTTTTGTTGGTATTATATTGTGTTTATCAGAATTTTGACCAGCACTTGATAAAGTTTATGTTAGAAATAGTAATTACATCTATTCTAAAATCCAAATATAGCATCTTAGATAGGTTATTTAGATAGTAATATTAATAAAAAGATTGATAAATACAGTAGATAAAAGATTTTAATTATTTTTTTACTAATTTTATTGTTTTATTTCCAGTTTTTCACCTTTTAGCAGTTTTGTAGTTTTGCTATTTTGGCATTTTAATTTTTTTTTTGGCAAAAGTTGAAACTAGTTTTGACTTTTGGCAATAGCAAAACCTCTAGGTTTTGACTAACAACACTAGATCACACGTAATATATACATCAATATATACAAATACCAAGTATACAATTTCAAACTATTAGATAAGTTTATTTTACAAATTTTGCTTATTAATTACTAACATATGGTCTACCTACTTCCTGAACTAATTGACAACCAATGCATTATCAATGCATTATATAAATAAAATTATATAGATAATATAATATAATAACACGATATAAATAGTAAAAGTAACATTATTAATTTTTTAAACATTATTTTAAATTAAACAAAAATGTTTATTCCTTTATTATCATAACAAAATCATAGATTGAATTAAAATAGCATAATAAACTTTGTGTTAAATATGTATAATATATGTTAATGCAAATGCGACACAAATTGAAACGTCATTCATTAATTAACAAAATGATTGCGCTAAATGTGACATGATTATATATTGGCTACGTAGAACAAAATTTTTCATAACGCCAATTATTAAATACGAAAATGTTGGTATACAAATAGCTAAACAACTAAAATTTACCACTATTTAGTCACATATAACGATTTAAAAAGATTACTCAATTAAATGCAAATCTGAAATTATCTGAGTTTACACATTTAGAAATCATAACCAACCGTGGCACCCAACCAAATGCAAGAATGACAAACATCCTTGAAGATTTTGGTAAACCATACTCTCCGTTTTCACTTATAGAAACTCCATTCCTTGTATTACAATTTGGTTGAGCTAGATATGTTAATTCGCTAAGCAACTTATGTATATAATTTGTCCACATGCTAATTCATGTGCAACTTATGCTAAGTTTTATTATGAGATTATAAAATTTTTAGGGGCTTTTTTGTAATCTTTCTACAATTTAGGGTCTTAAAGTAAAAGAATATATGTAGATTTTAGTAGATATTTTAGATTTAAATAGAGACTCTGAATCTCAGTATAAGCTGATTTCAGCATAAGTCGCCATTAAAGATACACTATTATTCGGAATAATTTATTTAAACTAAATATTGTGGTAGAATTAAAGGTTTGAAACTAAAATGTGTAAAAAATTTTTCAATAAAGATATAAAGCCAAACCTATTATGTGTTTATAATTATAAATTGATCATTAATGTTAAAATCTCTATTTCATTTTAATAATAAATAATTTATTTTAATTTAAATTCCAATCAATAAAAATTATCGAGACTATTTTATCGCTAATAAATCCTATTTTAGAGACTTTTTTACAGGGCCGCGGGATTTTGTAATTTACTGTGATCTTAGTGATATGAATCAAAAATCGATTCATCGATCAGTTGGTTTGCAACTAATCGATCAATAATTTTCAGAATATTAATCGATTGACTAATTAATCGATTAATTAATTAATCGATTGATCAATTAATTGATTAGTGTTTTTAGATGATTAAAAATGTAAATAACGATTCATATATTTACCTGATATTAATAAACAGCTTTGTATCACCAATTGTTCTAGCGTTACCAACACCAAACATTTCACAACCAGTGTTAATATTTGTGCTTGTACATTGTTCTAATTTAAGTTGCACCTGATCTTAAATTTGATCTTGCTAGACAGCAAAGTCCTTAAATGTACGCGCATAATTGCCAACTGACTTCTGATACTGATTGCTAGATATAGTGGTCGATATGAAAGTAACTTGTGTTTCTTTTTCAAGTAATGCTATGTAAGTCATATTACTCAATTTTTGGCAAATATATATATATGAGTGCTGCTGAGGGAAAACCTTCATCGGGCTTTCAATTATATTTTGTGTCCAGTTTATCTATGAATATAATTGAAAACCCGATGACAGATTTTCTCTAAACGGCACTTAGGAAACAAACTGGACACAGAATATAGTTGAAAGCTCGATGACAGGTTTTCTCTTGGCAGCACTCATATATACACTATTAAATCCATCATTAATAATTAACTAATCGATTAATCATTAATCGATTGATGATTAATCGATTAATCAATTAATCGATTAGTGATTAATCGATTAATCAATCAATTAACAATAATCAACCCATATTTTTTTGCTCTAATTCGTAATGCTAGAGATAGATATAAATAGAAAAAAAGTAGTTAGAAAGACATCGAACTTTTTATAGTTTTACAAATAAAATAAAAGTTACATTACCTTTTTCTAGCGAATTATTTTATTTTATTTGAAATAATAAATATCATTGCACTTTTTTTAAACAAATAAACCTATCTTACGCTCTTAATATCGTTCCAATGGCTTCTACATCTAATACGCATTTACATCAGAAAAGTGCAGTATGGCACTTCTTTGAACCTCCAGTTGAAGAATGCGGCAAGAGACAATCCAAATGCCGTCTATGTCCAGATGATAAATTTCTTACCGTAAGCAATAGTGGCACCACCAACTTAAAAAAACATATTAAAAACATTCATAAAATTAATGATTTAGAGTCAGCTAGTTTAAATTTTGCTCCTCAGCCAGGTGAATATATCCTTCGAGAAGCATTAGTTAAATGGATCGCAACGGATTGTCTTCCATTTACAGCCGTTGAATCAGAAAGTTTTCACGAGCTAGTTGAAGTAATTAGGAAATTAGATGGCAAAATTACAATTCCTTCAGCCAGAACAGTAAAACGTGATTTGTTAGAAAAATATTCATTACTAAAAACTTCATTCAAAGATTTGTTAGCAAATAACTTAAGTAAGATTTCTCTTACTACAGATCTCTGGACTAGCAATAGTTGCAAGGCATTTTTAGGAGTTACGGCGCACTGGATTGATGTGAATTGGCAAATTCAATCTCGCGTACTCGATTTGGCGCCGTTTGAAGGACCTCATACCGGAATAAATATAGCGAATGCTTTTGTTAGAATTTGTGAAGATTTCGGTATTAGCAACAAAATACTTGGAATAACAGT